GCTTTAATAAATAATATTTTCAAATTTAAGAGAATTTAATAACAATTTGAACACCAAATGGAATTAGAAATGCTCAATGACAATCGATATACCGGTACCAGTCTACAATGTACACACAATAAGAAACAACTATTTGTTAATATTGGTCGCGGGTGCATCAAATTAACAACAATTTCTGCTCTACTCGTGTAGCACAATGGCGGTCGCAAAGAAGTAAGCAAAAAGAAAGAGTTAAAACTTGGTGGCCACGACCTAGTAGATATGTGCCTAATATAGAGCTCAAGCCAGCATATGTATTCGTATTTTCAGCATTCCGGGGTTATTTTTGTTACAAAAAATATCAAATCGGTTCAATATCTCACATTTATCATCAACGGTTTACATACAGCGAATTGAACCGCAAAAAATTGGGTCGTAAATAACTCGAAACACAAGAGACTCTAATAAGCAACAAACCATGAATATCGAGAATCGCAGATCCGTTGCATACTGTTTATGGGACTCATTGTGGACATTTTATTGCATTATGAAGTCCATTGAAATCCCCCGTAGCCGTCACTTGCGCTGCCGGGATTTGCTTTTATATACAATTTTTAGGGGGGAGTGTAAACAAAAAGTACTTTCTGGTACTGGAAAACAGCGTAATTTCCCCGTGCCAAGATAATAGACTTAACCCGTTGAAGACAATGACGTCTACAGATGTCTAGACGTGGAGATCTACATGAATCCCGTATTCTCAGTATTATAAAACAATTAAAACAATATATATCGTCGATGAATTTATGATCATCTAAATTATTTTACTTCAATTATTCTTAGAATTGAACGCACCAGCGTCGACATGTTAAAGGGTTGCGAAGAAAGCAATTTTCTTAGATCATGAACCATGTGAAGTTATGTGTCCAAGGAATACTATTCGTGAGAAAAATTTCTGTATCTGCGTAATGCAAAGCAATCTTCTGTTAGATCTCAAAAAGAAAACTGCACGATCGAGTGACTTCCGAAACACCCCGATGGACTAGACAAACGGCTTGAATGGAAACACAAAGAATATTTGCCATTCCCTAAATTTGTAACGATGAGCTTCGCTAGTGTGCTACATATCATCTGAACTCAACAACCGATCCTTACAATATGCCTCGAACATTGATAAAGCATTTTTTTTACCATGTCAATGCTCAGCTCTATCCTAGACAATTCCATTGCGCCGAATTTAAATATGATAGCCACTCCCTTCACCACGAAGTTGGACCCACTATACTAATTCTACTTTGATTCTTACATGACACGATTCACAGACAGTTCTAAAGGAATAATTGTTCTTCTGACCTGTACCCCATAGGCTGCCAGGAAGATAGGAAAGATAGTAACAAACGTTGACCTATATATATATAGCAAACAAGATGCCTTCCACCATTTCTTTAAATAAATACTCAATTTTATAATAATAAAAAAGTTGCCCTAATCATGTAAATAAAATTTAGATTAGAGTTTGCTGCAAGAACTGATTATTGACTTCTCTTTAAATATTAATCTAAACCTCTCATCTCAAGGGATAATCGGGTGCTCAGGGTGCATTTAATATTTCCGAAAAAAGACTTATTATAATAAATTTCGTAAAAGAATTAACTATAGTTTAAAACGAAGGTTAATTATTATTGCACGCAGTACGTATTAAAGCTTAACCATAACCATTAATATTCGTTTTCTAAAAATTGTTTCATTTTTATTAAGTGTTGAAATGGGGTCAAAACCATTCTCGCTTAAATTGTAGAGGAAAAAGAAAACTTTTATGATTTATGGAATTGGCTGCCTTTAACAGACGATCTAAACAAATAAAGTGGATTCACTCGTTTGTCGTAAATGATGTGTAAAATGAAACAATTTAATGAATTTGTTACATTTTTTCTTTTTTTTTTTCTTTTTTTTGCTCAAGATTCATACGTGATGTTCGTCATACTGATGACATTTGTATTATTGTTGCCATCTATGTTCGAGCAAAGCTAACCTTGTGCTACTTGCCGCGCGTTTGTCTCAAAAAATTCGTTTTACATGAGGGGAATAATATCTTTTTAATTTTCATTGTGTTATTTTCTTTTTCTATTTTTTTTTTTTTTTTTTTTGTTTTATGTCGCTCTGCGTTGCTTTAGTTTTCATTTGTTAGCAAAATTAATTGCTTTTATCATGCATCGTCAACTTGAGATGGTCACTTGAATGAATATGAATGGAATGAATATGTGGGCAGTTAAGTGTTAAGTTTTAATAAGTGCTGATACATACAAGTGAAAATTGTTAGTCAGTTGGTTTAATCAAAAAAACCAATATGAAAACTGAAAAGACAAAAATCAGCCAAATCACGAAAATTAAATACTCAAGCGTTAATGAAATGAAATGTTTGCATATAACACATCTTTAAATACGTTTTTTTCTCTCAAAAAAAAAAATTATAATAATAAATAAATAAATAAAAATTTAAAACTTAAAGTTGCGTTTGAGTACAAATTTTTATACCGTACACCACTTACGGTGCAGAGTATATTAAGTTTGTGCGGATGTATGTAACATACCGAAGAGCTTAAGATAGATAAATTATAATCATATTCTGAATCGATCTGAGCCTGTCTGCCTATCTCTCCGCCTTGTTTTAGTCCACTGACGTGTTTTGACCCAAGGACGAACATTATTGAAAATGGTTCAGATCGCACCACTTCCCATGCAATGCGTTACTTTGAAAAGTTGTGAATGATTGTCTACAGAATGGTGTAGGGTATCTAAAATGCTGAGCCTTGCCCCAATGTAGCGATTTTACTTGCTACGAATAGACTACTACAAGTCCTAAGCTAGGCTAATGCTCATTACCTTGAAAAAAAAATTGTCAACTTGAGTCTCTACTCTCTGTGCAGGTATTTATTTTTCATTGCATATCTGCTCGCTCTGACCAAGAACATGGAAGAACTGAGCTCCTCATCGAGTTGACAATATAAGCTTTGTTGTCATCACAGATTTTTAATAAATTTCCTTAGTTCTGAAGTACAGTTTAGGGCTTACTTACCATGTTGCGTTAATGCTATAAAATTTTGAAATAAAAATAAATGACACGACATACTATCCATCAAATCTACTGTTTGTTGGCAACTTAAGTATCAGTATTTATTTTTCTAAAATTTCTATGATAGTCAATAAGATTTCAGATTAGCTAAGTCGCTTACCTAACGAGTCTTTTTCGTATCGTAATAGTTGTCGACAAGTTAATGATATCTTGTATTGAACGCCACCAAATTTCAGTTATATTACATAAATAATTCTTTCTTATCAGTGCTTGTCGCTACCAAGGGAAATCAATAAAATAACCTGAGTGTTATGTAGCATTGATTCTCTGATTTAAGACGCCGGCATCGTAAAATTCCATCGCAAAATAAAAACACACAACACTTCCATTCCTTCTTGAAATCATAAAATTTCCATTACATTAAACTGAGACGTAACAGTTGCCATTGCATGCGTTTTGATTGCACAATCAAGCGGGTAACTATCAAAACAATTGATCACCTTACACTTTCTCTCATTGCAGGAATGTTAAACAAAGACTACGTGACGTTTGCTACAAGAAGGCGATAATCTGATAATCTGATAATGAATTCTCTGTTAAATGTTGATAAACTTAAGTTTAATGCTATTCTGGCTTGCAAATGCTATAAAATTTAACTACGATTAAATAGGATTTCGCAGTTTGCGTAGTCGACCGTTCTACTCAGACTTCATAACTGATAACCTAAGCTCTTTATAGATGTTTGCTTACTACAAGAATATTACTGGCAGCATTGCTTTATAATGTCATTAAACTTTTGCAGCATTAAAATCATAATTGAATTGTCTTCTTGTTAATTTACGAAAATTCGTGAAAAGGCAGGTGAAAGCAAAGACGTTGATTATTTCTTAAGACGTCAAACAACATAATTACTGATGAGTTGCTCTTCTCTTTCTGTTTTCTTCCTTTTCTTTTTCGTAGTCACCAAGTGAATTAAAAGGAATATAGTTTTATATAAATTTTTTTTATTTAGGAGAAGGATATCAAACCCATTACTAAGGTTAATTTTGATATTGCATTAGTAACCTATCAAAAAATATATTAAAAAATCTTTTCAATTATCTGCAGACGTTCTTTGCGCTCTAGAGTCACTCAGTTAATGTCAACAAATAGGAGAAGAATTATATTTGCCAAGTTTAGGTCGCAAAGAAATTTCTGCGAGAGATAGGAGTGAATGCAAGGTCTCAACGAGCTTTTGAAATTTGAGGTGTAGTATAGCATAGCAAAGATAGAAGCGCTACATTGCAAATACGGTTTGGACTTGGAGCCCAATTTCGACGTTGACAAACACATTGAAAAAGTCTCTTACTTGAGAAAGATTCCTTTGGCGATACATTAGAATGTCTACATTGAATGTCTACTTTTTTGCTTACTTGCTTACTTAGTCTTCCTCTTGTCTTTACAAAACATATCATGTAACAAACAATCACGTCTAAAGAACAAGTTTTTCTAATTGAATTAATTTCCTCGAGTTTGTTGTATAAAAACCTTCTTCCTTTTTTTTTTTCTCACTTTTTCATTTCAGATACGAGAGATAAAAGATATAGCGTATACAATAAATAATACGGTCGGAATAAAGGTGCTGTAAACAATCACCAAAGTTAAATGAGAAAACAAATGATATATACACGAAACCATATCAAATATTGTTTCAAGGAGATCAAAGAATCGTTATATATATAAATATACATAATATATATATATATATATATACAGGCATATATATTTATATAAAGAAGCAAGCATTGTTCTAAGCAGTGTATTGTGCATGTGTAAGTTGAAAAGAAAAACTAAGAGAGAGAGAGAGAAAGCATACAAATTTTTATGTAGAATATAGATGGCGCACAATTTAAGACCACAGAAATTGACTAAAAAAATTTTCTTTAAAGGATTTCCCAAAAAGATCTAAAAACCGTTAAACGAAATAAAAGAAGCCGTCGTGGATACCCACGGTGATACACATAAAGAGTCAGCGCCACTGCCAACGTGTTCAAATCAAACGCCGCCCTATCAGAGGCTTACTAAAGCTCTGCAATGCGATCCAAGATGTGGACACGAGGTAAGTTTCAATAAAATCTTTTTTTTTTTTAAATTAACACAAATCTCTTGGATTTTTTGTTTTTCTTAGCTCTCTTTACAAGTTAAACATTTTATATATATATTATATACATTGTAGCGTAATTTATAATATTTATGTTAGGGTTCAAGGTTCTTGAACTTCACTTTGCGGATAATCGGTCATTTTTTTCGCATATTTTCTATTTTTCTCGTTTTGCACCTCTTCCACAATTCCGTTCTTTGCAATTGAGTCATTAGCCCCATTGTGTGTAGCGTTGCAAAAAAGAGCCTTTCTGTCTGCGTATATATACAATGTTTGCTTTTATGTCAATTTAATTCAATTACCTTTCTCTGGCTAACACAATATCGAACATATAATATATAACATGTCTGATATTACCTTTCGCTTTGTTCGACACTTACATAAGCTATGCGCTTGACTGTGTTTACTTTCTCACAAATTGGTTTTTTGTGTTGAAAAACATTTCTACTACAATGATATAAATATTTTTGCCATCACAAGCTTGTATTGTCTGCCATTTCATTGTTCTCGTGAAAATATTCTCTACCTCTTTATGACCGTACTATCATACATAGTTTATTATTTCAAATAAGTGCACACAGTGCAAAAAGTTTCCGAAATTAAACATGAATTAATATATTGAATGCAATAGTGTTCGTGAATTTTTTAATCAGAGGATTTTTCTTATTCGTATCACATGGTGACGGTCAGAAAGAAGTGGGCGGTAGAGAAATAGAATGGGGGATGGCCGCATTCCAGTGGGCGTGTTCCCAACCAACCGGTAAGAGTTAATGTCTTTGCCAACTGAGCACTCGCTATAGGCTACGAACACAGTAAAACTCTACTCTGCGCGATTCTGGCCTACTCGACTATTCATGCCTTCCTCTGACAGGCATCAAAGGCTTTCAGCAGAAGAGTAATTTTCGAAAGTTGGTCGAACTCATGAATGGTGAATAAATGGTGAATAATGGTAAGTATTTCTCCTAAAAGAAGAAAAAACAAAAGCAACAAGTGCCGTATTCACGCTCACAATTGAGTTTTCCATTGCAGAATAGTGGAAGATATTAAGGTTTTTAGGCATCAGCCGCACGAGCACCATCCTCCTAATTTTAGTGATATATTTGTCGCTAGCAATCACCGAAACTCAAGAAATTCTCGGTCTGTTTTGTGTGCTTAACAAAACCCCTTTTTTTTGGCATACGGGATTCGCTGCGAGCCACCAAGGTTTGCAAAGATTTCGCACCAAAAGTGTTATGTTTTCAATTCAATTCTGTTTATTTGCAATTCATCTCCCATTAGCATTCCTCCTAAATGAATCATGTAATTATAGTTGTGTTATCTTATGATACCATAGTACATAGTTATACTATTAGATATATTAACTACAATAATATTATTTTACATAAGAAACTTGAATTATTACTTAAAACTATATTTAAAGGAGGCAAACAACTTAAGATCTTTAACAAATTATTTGAGTGTAACACTAACAGCAAAAAGGGTTCAAACCGGCCGAACTTGACGGCGCATAATCTGACATCACACACACGCTAGATGACTTCAATAGATGACTATTTTAGTTTATGGGATTGTGTAGGCATGACATCGGCAATGCTCGAGCATTGCAGCGAACATTTTTTATGGTATGCATTGAATTAGACTACAAACGTCTCATTCATATTTTTCCATAGGATTCTAATTCACAAAGTCTTATAGAAGCGAAAGCTTGTTGAGAGACGGATAGCGGCAATCGTTTAACAAGGCTATTGAAAATACAATACAATCGTTGCTTAACTTTGTTAAAAAACTGATGCTTTGAGTATCAACAACTTTCTCAAGCAAAGACTACAAGCTATTAATAGTAATTTCCTTTTACGTAGTGGTAGTGAAACATGCACAGCTCTTACGATAAATTCCTTAACGCAAATGGCAAGGATTCATTTTGTTTCAAGCATATTTGTCCGTCCATCTATCGCAAAAATGAACATCGTCTACAAATTTGCAAAGTAATATGAAAATACCCCAAACGGATCAAAGACCCGCAGGCCTATGCGAACACGAACGAATTGTAAACAAGTCAGCTTTCCCTGTTTTTTGCTTCTTATGAAAAATGTTTGAAAGATTCGCTCACGATTGAATACAATTTTCTTTGCTTGTCTTACTTGTTGCACATGTTGAAGGCTCTTCAAAACAAATAAATTTGATGATAGCTTGGAAATGATTGTAGGTCCCGTCGTTTCGCTGCTGCATCACCACTGCAAAGATACGTTTTCCCATTCATTACGCTGCACTAATTAGCTTTTAAAGCCAAAGAATCCTTCCTTGAGCTTTTGTTAAGAATAAAGTGTATATTAAAGCACGTTGTGGTATCTGATGTAAACATTCTCTCGTTCGCAAAAATAAAATTATTTCTTACAAATTCACAAAGCAATTTAAAAATGATTCCAACGAGCCAAAGGACATGACAATAACGACCACACGTCTATGCAACGAAGCCTGTGAACACCTTCGCTTTCCGTTTTTTTTTTTTTTTTTTGCTTGTTGTGTTACTTACAAAGTAAAACACATACACAACATGAATCTGCACTGTTTTATTCTGAGAAAAGAAAAAATCATCCGCACTCATTCAACGTTATAGAGTATGACAAGGGTGATGGACATCAAAAATTCGGTCACGACCGAATATAATTTTTTTATTTGTTATAATTTGGTTTCTTAGAAAGCTGATTAGTTTTCATGCAGACTCATTTTGTCAACTATGGGATATTCGTAACAATAAAAAATGAAATGAAATTCTTGTCGTGATATCTTATGCGGCACATTCTTTACATCTTTTTTTTTTTTCCATTTTGCACACTGTATATACTAAATGTACAGTGCTGTTTGACTATTCTTACCGGTAGTGCACTAAATATACCAATATATTTGACGATGATGAACACATACATCCAATTGCATATATCAAAATTATATATCATCGTTATCTGGAATACACATAATCTGTATTATACACATAAGTCCAGGGATTAAATTTTCTTTTTTTTTTTTTGTTTGTTTTTCTTTCTAAATAATTAATTAATTAATTAATTAATTAATTGTGTAATGAATGACATAATAATTATTTCTTTCCATAGATGCACTATTGCGAATGCAAAAAGCAGCAGCTAGAAAAACAAGTAGCGTGCTTTTTAAACAAATGAAAGTGACAAGTAGCACTTAATCACCGCAATTGCCTTATTATTCTTAACGTAACATTTTAAGATGTGCTATTAATTATAAACTGTCTCTTTTCTTGAGTTGCAGATGAATTTCTTAATTCTAATGAGATTGAATAAATACACAGTTTTCTTCAAGTGATTCTAGAAAAAAGTAGAAAAGTGTTGCAACAGAATTTAATACTTTTGCCAGTAGTTTCCAGAAATTGTTCCAAAATATAGCCGTCTAGATCGCTGGAAACACTGCACTCATTCTGTTAAACCACTGTTAACCAGGAATATGATTCTTTGACACGTATCTCTTCACGTATCATCTAAATTGGCCGTAATACAGATATTACTGCAGAACACTCTAATCCTTATAACTGATCGAATAGTCCAGCTTTTAACATTTGACAGAGAAAGTCTCTTTAAGCCTTACAACTGATCATCTAATACCGCAAATGTCTCTAAAAACCTTCATAAGAGACGAAATATCGGTTTTGAAATACCTCTTCTGCTTCTTCTTCTTTTCCATTACAATACTATCGCATATGTTTTTTTTTGACCGCACTATTATGGTGGAGTTTTCGTCACTGGACAACTATATTGTTACTGAGGTTCACTTGCCACAATCATTGTTCTTGCCCGATAAGAGAATTATATTGTACCGACGTTGTTTTACGATCTTACACATTCGCGTTCTAAATCGTTTGCTATTCGCAATAATGTTCAATAAAAAAATGTAGAGTCAGAATAAAATAGTAAAGCAAATAAACCAAAATAAAGATCGGATGTGCAAGCCGAATAATGAATTCACATCACCCACTTGAATATCCAGAGTTTAGGGAACATTATCGACGAATTCGGTCACAAAAAATATGGTACTCGTATGTTTATGAAACAAGACTTTTGTCTCGTCATCTCGACACCTTATGCAAACACTTTATGCAAACTTTTCTAGAGTTTTGATAATAATCTCTCCAATGATTGACTCTTCCTAACAACATTCTCTGTTGATATAGAAGTACACGCAATATTAAGAACATCAAGGATATAATTTTATTTAGCAAAACAGATGTGATGACAAAGTGAGTAATTATGCAATACGTATACCACTATACGTAGTATTTAACTTTTGTCCATAGAGTAAGATTACATACTAACATAACAAACGATCACATTGCATTGGTCACTGATTGTCTGTAATTTAAGTCAATATGTAAATTTGCAGGTACGCTTCTAACATTATATGTGCTTTTGTTACTCAATTAAATTTTTTGCTAATTTTAGCAAAATTTTTTCTGTCCCACAGGAGAAAGACTCATTTAGTTTTTCTATAAATGATGAAATTCTGGCATTACTGTCAGTCTCTTGGCAATTAATGATTAACTTGTTTGTTTAATTTCGGTTTGCTTAATTTCCGCGTTCTCCTCCGAGTTACAAATGTAACATTAGTGTGAAAATTGATCAACAATAAAATCATATCTTAACAAATGTACTCCATTGAGAAATACGCATGATCCGCACATTATCTTATAGTAAAATGAAACTCTAGGTGATGCGGAAATTGATTCGACTTACATAAATTTTTGTATCCGTTACTAGCCTACACTTGCATGAAACAATCTCCGACAGGTTATAATTAATGTATCCCAACACATTTAATTGCACGAGTTGTATTGAAAAAAAAAAACGGACTTTTCAAATATCGGAGGATACGTACAGTGGTTTTTTTATATGCACCAAACAATAAATTGGTCATTAAATCATATTTTTACATAATTTTTAAGACGTAATGTGGGAAACATGCGCAATAGCACTTTATAAGCGCAACACTTTAAGCGCAGTCCTATGCTTAGCACGAGGTTTTGATGATTCTTTGACACTTAAGCTTAAAAATTCTACACAAGGACGAGGATGTCTTTATATATTTTATGTTTGTTTTTAATGATATAATAAAGCAATTATGTATATCTCCTCTTCTTTTCGGGATAATGGCGATTTTGTTATTTCTAGGCGTCGCATATCTATTTCTTCGAAAGCCCGTCAATTTGACATTTAAACTTTCTGAATCGGCTTAACACGCCCATAATGTAGAAGCAACTGAAACCATCTCGGAAGACATCGGCGATCTTTTCAAATATTTGCCCATAACTTCGGTTCAGTAAACATTTTTCCGAGAACCTGCGAACTCGATGATCGTTGAGATTACCTTCACATTCAGTCCGAAAATAGTTCGGATCGGTTCAAAAACATATCTACAATAAACAACAGAATAAAGAACCGTGGAAACAGAAGGAAATATGGAGTGGGTAAGTAGTAAGTGTTTTGGTTTTGCCGGCTGAACGCTCACTACAGCTATGGTCTATCGACACCGACCAGGCAGCCGCAATTTTATTGCTCCCCCTGTTTACAGCTGTCAGATTGACGTTCTTATTGTTTGCCTTATATGGTTTGGAATGTGATCTTTCCTTCGCAAGGAATTAGACTGAAATTCATCGGTCTACATATCGTTGGGAGATAAAGTGAATCTCTATGTGCAATGTTCTTGTTTAGACCAACAAACAGTGACGCTTGTTCCCCTGTGTTACGAGAAATAATATACGCTTATTGGAGCCTGCCTAACGATCTGTTAATATGTTGACGGGCAGTACAAATTTCAGTGATATCCAAAAATTGTCAATCAATTCATTTCAAAATTAGCTGTGATAGTCGAAACCTGATTAGAAATATATGGTAAGGGCAGCTATAATACAGTTGCATATATACAGTGAATGCCATAACATCTATGATAATGCCGATGGAATTTTACAGCTAATTGCCATTAATATGTTAAGGTTACACAAAATTCAATGAAACATAATTCGCATGAAAATTGACAAGCGGTAGAATTCAATCACTCAACATTCATCAATATGTTAATAAAAAATTCATATCTCGCAATCCGTAACTTTAGCTGTCAATGCTTGTGGGTTTTTTTTTTCTCTACTGTCACGTAGTCACAAAATTTGTATCTTTTTTTTTAGTCCATATAGTATTAGGCTTTGTATTCGGCAGAAGATATCTCTGTAATTGAATTTACTTAATTAATGAAATGAAAGTGGCCATAAATATGTTCACAGATTTTTCGGATTTTAAAGTTATTTCGTGCATAACCATCGGGGGAGAGTGGGTTGTTATTTATTTATACTCACTCACGCTTCTAGATTTATCATGACATCGCTATATTAAGACAAAACATTCCTCGAACACATTTTCTGTTTTCCTTTGCCACTTTCCATCAGCCTGAGTAGATTTTGATGAATCGGGTTTTTCCCGATTATTCTGAATATTGTTTCAGCTTACTTCACTTTATCTTTCTACTTCCGACAGTTTGGTAGGATCATACTTTAATTACTATTGGCCGCAGCTGTAGTGACTGTCTATCGCGCTCGCACCTATTCATTTCCCCTAGTCATACATATAGATCAGTGTAACCAGTGTGAGAGAAGAAAACACAATAATTTTCTGATGTACGTGAATGAATTGTTAAAAATTGTATGTCAATGAATAACACTGATAACTCGTTCTTGTTGGCGGACATTTAGGAGACATATGTAATTTCTTTCCTTTTGCCTTAAACGGTTTAATTTAAAGCTCTAGTAATTCAATATGTCTTATAAGTTTCAAGCCAAACGAAATTAAACAATGAATTATTATTTTATTACTTTGCCTGCAGCATCGAAATCACAATCAGATAAATCTTGATAGATGGTCATCGCTGAGTCCATTTAATCATCAGCGTTCATTGTCGCTTCTTACTACACCACTTTGATTGAACTAATAAATCAGGTTAAAGCGAGCAACGGAACCAATAGAAGGAGATAATTGAAAATTGTCAACAGATAGATGACGAAATACACGTACCAGCACTTGAACGAAACTTGAGCCATTTGTTGTGGTCTATATAAATCAGATAGTTTATGTAATAACAAAATGACAGTAGAAAAGCAAATACATTTGGTAAATATCTGCAGAAAGCACTTACATTCATGTTTACATGTGCTTAGAATCTATACACAAGCACGACGCAAGCTTTACATACATTGTATATATTTACACATATATTGTTAAGTGACTATTGCAGCTTACCTTGACTAGAGTCATGCACAGAACGTTTAAAGAAAAAATGATTTCAGTTGCATCGAATTTTCTGTTCGTTTCTCTTAGTCTAGTTAAATAAAATGTTTGTAATCTCTAGCTGGAATTATCCATCAAAGGATATGAGATTAGTTTGATTAATGTTGACGTTATCACTCTTACTTTGATCTACTTATGTCCCTCTGTCCGTCTCTTACTCGAATTGTCGCGATCACGAAAATTGGTAAAAACAGTTCGTAGGTAGGTTTTAAGCCAATGCCCACAAATCAAGTAAGAAAATAGGCACGACTGATTCATATGAATACACGAATGATCGCATAACATAATAAAATTTGTGCAAAAGTGACCGATTGACGTTATAACAGACAAACAACTTCCAAAAAATGATGCAGTTCTTTGACTCGCAGTGATGCGTATTCAGGATATGGCGACGACTTTAATTTTCTTGGATACACGTTCCTACATATGAAGTACTTTAGACATATTTAAATTCATTCTTCAATAAATTAAGGAAATTTTGATGAAATGATTCAAATAGTTTCAATTAAGTATTAGAAACTTGATTATCGATAAGAGGATAAAATATGAATTAAATTTGTGGCTACACAAATTGTATTTAAAATGTAATTAGTTTTGAGTAAATTTACAAACGAAACATATGAACTTGTTTAATTTCGGTAAAAAAAGAGAAATGCATTAAGAGGCATAATAATTTGATGTTTAAAATTGTTTCAGGTTACCATTGGCCGACGCATAGGACTCTACAAATTTTGTGGCGACATAGGACGCGGCAATTTTTCAAAAGTGAAATTGGCCGTGCACCAGCTAACGCGAGGTAAAAAAACCTTTGCTTATTAATTTTTGTTATTGCAACGTAGTGGAAGTTGTTTTATGAATTTGCTTCTTTTTTTTTTTTTTTTTTTTTTGAACCACAATTACACGCATAGACAAAGTAGCCATCAAAGTAGTTGACCGCGCTGGTTTGGATGCCAAAGCATTGCGTATGCTTTCAAGTGAAATAGCTACACTCGAATGTGTTCATCATCCTAACATTTTAAGGTATGCTCATCATCAATGTCATTCACTTGATGGCAATGTGTCCTATGCCCTATTACTTCGCTTATTGCATTAATGTCTTATGGTTTTTGGCTTTTTATTAAGGCTTTTTGAAGTTATCGAAACATTGGGTCGCGTATACTTGGTTACCGAATGGATACGTGGCGGTGAATTGTACAATCATATTACCCAAGGTGGGCCCTTACGAGAAATACATGCATCGCCCTTATTTAAACAATTGTTGTTGGCTGTGAAGCATATGGTTAGTATAAAAATGTTCATATGCCATCTCCACAGGTATTGTCTTTCATAAGCATTATTATCTGTAATTATACGTAACACAGTTACTGCCCTATTAAACACTATTCTTGTATGCATGAATATAAGCGTTTATTGTTTCTTTATACTTATTATTTTCCCTTTTTACTGATGTGTTCGGTAAATAGCACAGTTTAGGCTTTGTTCACCGTGACATAAAAGCGGAAAATGTATTATTATTGTCAGAAGACCGCTTGAAATTGGCTGATTTCGGTTTCAGCACACAATTAATAAACGGTGAGTACAAAATAATGGACCTATAAACTATCTAAACATAATATATTTTTGTCTCAGACAAATCAGGCAGGATGTGCATGAGTTTTTCTCAAATAGATATCACAAAACCCTTTACCAAGACTACACGAGATATGCCCTTGCAAGATGGAAACATATTACCTTTGACTTGAGTGTATACTAGTGTAGATGGATTTAGCCATATGTGACAGTGAACGTTTGAAATTGAGAAAGTTTCCTTAGCAAAAATTTGGTCGTAATTCAACCAAATATGTAGCCAAAGCAATTTTTACAAATGAAAAAATTTAAGATTCCATCCAATTCAGATGCAGCAATTTTGAGTTTTCCAAATTTTCTTATCGGAAATATAAAGACACTTTTTATACCCTTACCGAGAGAGAAGGGATGCATTCATTTTGTCAAAACGTTTACAACGCCCAGAAAGAAGCTTCAGAGCCACCATAAGGTATATACATTTTTTATCAGCATCAAATTCTGCATCGATGTAAGCATGTCCATCGAATGTTCGAATGTCGGTTACAAATTTTATCCTGACCGCAAAAATGAAGTTATCGACTTCAAATTTGGTAGAAACAAAGCACGCTTTAGCATTGAAGATGGACCAAATCGTAGTACCGCGTTGTAGTACCTTTACAAAAATCGTGAAGGGGGACATTCCCTGAGGGATTGGCTAAATTGAAGAAAAAAAAAATAAATAAATAAATAAATCAGTTTTAGTTTTTACCACACCTCTACAAAAGCACGTAAATAAAGTAATTTTCCAATCCATTCGTTCTGCAAGCAATTTATCTAAAAGTACACTTTCACTTGAGACAGTCAGTTTTCGACCACTGATTCGAAATGGTTTTAAGTTTTATTATTCCTTTACCTATTTCTCAGTATAGCTTCCATTAGATACCTTCGTGCACTAATCTTTTGAAGCTATTTCAGAACAAGTTGTTTTCAAAAATCAATGCTTTATAGGGCGAAAAATCAACAAATTCATTACCTAAATTATTATCTCCTTAAGGCCCCGAATTATAAGTATCGCAAAAATGATCAAAGCCCTTTTCGCAGGGACAGCAAATTATTGCTCTAGGCCAGTGTTAATCATCATGAAAAATATCTATTGAATTCAGCACAAAGTGTAGCACGTTCCAGTTCAAAAGTACCAAAGTTGCTTGGACTGCGGTACACTGAGCGTCGTCGTGGCGACAAACTAACTAACAAAGTTCTTTCCGTTAAACAAACGGCTGTCTTTTAATGTCATTCACATTCTTAAGTTATTGATTATTATTGGAAGCATTTAGTACGCCCAACGGCAAACGGCAGCGCGTTAAATAATCCGATTGATCGTCGCTATCCATTTGTAATGCTATACGTATTTGCACCTTGAACGTCTTCATTAGTTGTCATCCGTCACGATTCAACAGCAGGAAAAGTAACGCGTTTCGGACGGAAGCTGAAGATTATGTTGTGTACATTTCAACAAAAACCTAATGATGATGGTTTAACCTAAGCATAATTAATGCGGGTTATGGTCTCTTTGTAAATTACAAAATCATTACAAACAACCATACAGAGAATAAGAGATGAAGGGAGTAGGAGTGCTCTCCGCTTTATATAAATTGAATCAACTCCGGTATGACTATCGGGAATTTGTGGTTCTGCCGCAAAAGTAATTTGCTGAGCTAATAAGTTTTTAGTTTTTTTTTCTATATTTGCTTTCTTACGAAATCAGAGCCGAATCTTTTCAATCCCGTAATAAATGTAAAGCTCTTTAACTATTTCCTTGCAGGCAGATCAAATTTGACATCCGACTGATTTCGACATAATACTTTTTTAATCGATAATTCTTGTCCTTCCTGTACGTGGTTCCTTACGAGTCGTAAAAGATATAAATTGCTTTAGCTGAAATGTTTCCGGGCGAATAAGGTCTCACTTACGTGAAGAGGCGTCACAACTCATTATATTTTAATAATGTCGAAAATTGCTTTAAATAACCTAGTTCTTGCCACCAGTGATATATCGAGAATATCAAAAGAAGATGATCGTTTTATTTTATTATTAAATATTACCGAACTCTGGATATTCCTGTGCGGGTCGCGAAAAATATGTTCATCACATTTTATGATTAAACTGTTCTGCGCAATGTACTGATTAAACTTTTTCTCCCTACAGTTAGTATTCGTTCATTCGTTCAAAAATGATGATGACCTTGGCCTGTTATTCTTAAATAGCACTGACAATTATTATGGTTATATTCTTTCCACGGAAAATGAAATGAAGCAGTATTTTTATGTTCGGTGGTATATTAACATCTTCGAACAAAATACAAAGCTTCTCTTGTCAGTCGAGCTTCCAGCTTTACCTCGGAAAACCTTATTGTAAACATTTTCACATTAGCAAATAAACACATAAAACAATAAATTTTTATTGCGTAAAATGCTACTCCGAGTACAAGAAATAAATAATAGTAATAAATGTTTAGGAACAATGAAAATTTTTCTGTAGTCTATTTTCAAATTATTGCTATTTGTTTGAAGGTAATCTACATAGTTCTTAATTTCAGTTTTTCATCAGTAAAGTGAAATAATCGGAGCACAGAAATATTATTAATTAAGTTCACTTTAGTAATGCGGCAACTATATCTCCGTCATTTTAAGCCTCGAGTTTCCTTAGGGTTCAATGGTATGAATATTTAGGTTTGCGTTCAAAATGATTATAAATAGCTAAAACGCCCAAAGACACTACTTTTTATTGGTAACTTATCTGGACAATGTCTATAATTATCATAATAAAAATCAAGTTTAATAAACTTTTACAATTGTGATAAGTTTTACGCGCTGCTAATCGCAGAGCAAATGAAATGAAAAATTTGTGGAAAAAGTTTTTATTTCTCAATATCAATACCTACTAGCTCGATATCCCTTTAAAAGCTAGCTAAGGTTGCCGGCTTTTATTGAACACTCCAACGCACTTGAGTTTTTAGTGGAGATCCCCCGCTTGCTTGGCCAATCAGGCGGGTAGTAGGTGTATAAAATCCGCCTGAGTGGCCGGGTAGGCAAGAGTCTCGACTAGCAACTCAATGGTCGTGGGTTCAAACCTCAAGTGCGGTAGAGTTTTTAATAAAGCCGAAACCCTTAGATACTAGTGCTTTAAGACTTTAGTCTTAGAATGTATTCTCTGGCTAAAATTACAATAAAATTAATAATAACAATAATAGGTGTATAAAAATATATAGGAAATATATCAATTATACAATATTTTTGAAGTAAAAAGTTATGGTACAAATATGTAAACGAGAAAGACTCATGTAAATCTTTACCTTAATTAAATAATCTTTTACCCGATTCAGGTGCAAATCAGAAATTAGACACATTTTGCGGTTCACCGCCTTATGCAGCGCCAGAGTTATTCTCCGATGATCATTATATAGGAGCACCGGTGGACGTATGGGCCTTAGGCATTTTACTCTATTTCATGGTGGTCGGTAATATGCCCTTTAGAGCACCCACCATACCAGGATTGAAGGCTGCCATTTTAAAAGGAGATTACCTTTTGCCCGGCCAATTAAGTCTGCCATGCATAAGACTAATACGTAAGTGAAAGATTACACATAACAAAATTGCTTGTCGATGAGTAAATCTTCGAACGAAATTTACTTCGTACCAATCATTTTCATATAAATTCCTAATATATTCTTCATTTTGTTTTCTTTTATTGTCCGATGCAACATGTAGAACGCATTTTAATTCATATACCAGTCCGCAGACCCACCATTGATGACATGCTTAATAGTCAATTTATTACGCAACCTAAACTGAGTGCGGAATTGATGCAACACGAAATTAATTTACGCACAAAACCTGTTAAACGATCCGCTTTTTGGGTTCGTTCCAAGTCGCGTCGGCTTCGTAAACAATATTCGTTGCGTGATCGTTACATGGAGGTCATAAATAAACCGCCAATTAACATGAATACAAAACGTAACGATGGCTTTTTTGTTGATAATTTCTTGCAACCTATTGAATTGTCCAAAGAAATGCCTACCGATCCTAACAAAGACACATCACGTAACGAAACGCCAAAGCGTAACTTTCTATGCGGTACTTTAAAGAAGAAAGTAGGGCCAATGGAAACGGAAAAGGAAAAACAAATATGCAATGGCTCGTTAAATGGCAAGAATCAGTGGAATGCAGTTATAGCAGCGGATTGTCCACTTTTCAAAAATTACGATACGGAAACAGGAAATTTTATAATGTTACCAACCGATGGCAATGACGATCAAAGTATACTTTCACCTTTGGAAAAGGAAGCACGTCAAATACTCCAAGAGTTGGGTATAACGAGTGATATGCTAAAGTCAGCTTCCACAAACGCTCCACGCAGTGATATAATTGGAGCGTATCGTATTGTTATCAATCGTCTACAAAAGCAATCTTGGCTGGCTCGTAAACATGTTGAGATGGCTTTACAAGAGATGCCAAAGGCCGATAGAAAAATTGAACGAACCTGCTGCATTCTATAGGTAGCACTGCAATTTCTCTCTCGACAAATTTTTTTCTCTCTCT